GTAATTTTGGTCTAGAATCGAAGTACTACATGTCTGCCATCTAGTGGTAGGGAATACAAATGAGATATTACACCATATTAGGAACTACAGTCTATTTGATTATGTATGAAGTCTTATCGCAATTTTGCGACTTTGGCACTAAGAGGGTTAAAAGCTGAATATTTCTAAATGAACTCTGTTATTTTGACAGGAAAATATAACAAAGAATATGGTTTACATGTAGTGCGTCGATTCAGCGTGGTATGCAAGACTCTCGCTCTCTCTCTTTGCATGTGTGAGAAACACAGCAGTTAAAGCGACGGCGAGTCGTGCGCCTTCACACTAGTTTATGGTACGTCAAATACAGGTGCGCTGCGTGGTACATACTGCGCATCCATTGAGTACATGACATGATCCATTGAGCGCATCCAAATAGTACAGATCGCTTGACGGAGAGCGAAACTCTCAAGCGCTCAGTCAGCGTGTTTATCGAGTGAAAATCTGTGTTGAACGCCTCTCACACACATACTGGCGTGTAAAATCTAAGAATTTATTAGCCAATAGCTAATGTTAGACATGATTTAGTCGCATATGCGAGTGTTCTGTTTTAAATAAAAATTGAGCATGAATTTGATACAGGACGAGTGGTCCAGGTATGCACATGATCCCGGCTGTTGTCGCTTACTCCCCAAGGTTCATGCACACAATAGAGTCCAGGAGTCTAGAGACAGGGTTTTAAACATTTATTTTATTTTATTTTATTTTAACAATTTCAAACTGTTAAATTGGCAGACAAGTGTAAAAATGGTGCTCAAACTGTGAGATACAATGGCCTGGTTTTGTTTTAAATGACATCACACCCATCTTGAGGTATATCAGGGCCTTAAGTCAGCTAACTAAAGTGTGTCTTACACCACTGCATGTGTCCTAAAATCAGCTGAAAATATATGGATGGAATCATAGTCTGAAGCAAAAAATTCTGAATCTGTGCCCATCATAAACTACTTGATTTTCTGTGAAATCTGTCAACTCCCACTTCTCAAAAATATGCAGGCTTGCTCTGACTTTCAGCAACAAGAGCCCATTTTTCCAAGACCAGTGTTGGGGAAAGTTACTTTTAAAAGTAATGCATTACAATATTGCGTTACTCCCTAAAAAAGTAACTAATTGCATTACTTAGTTACTTTTTATAGAAAGTAATGTGTTAC